TTATTTATATAGATGATTACTTAATGGTAATACAATATTTGTGAACACAACTGTGTATGTCAGACCATAAATCCCCAAACACTATGTATGGGGGCTTGCTTTGGTGTTGCCACCCCTCATAGACCCCATGCCACCCCTTTGCCACCCTAAAAATTATTTTCTAGATCCGCCCCTGACTTGGGGCTTGCTCCCTGGTTTCCCAGGGTTATTAGCCGGTTTAGACTATCCATGTTAAATTCTAACTTGACTAGTTCAAATCGCAACAACATTATTTATTGTTGCAACAAGCTACAGTTTGATATAAATGTTACTTCTTCTTTTTCTTCTTCTACACATTTATCCTAGTTTCACTGTCAGTTTTAGATTTATTTTAGTGCAGACTAACAGCATCAGCATCTTCCCCCATAAGAGGAAACTTCCTCTTCAGATATTTCCTCATTGTGCTGTGAAGACGCTTGATGAGAGCCAGAACACAGACAGACAGAAGTCCAGACGATCTGAAGCAGCATCACACTCTTCTGGAAACTGGACTTTAGAGAAATTATGCTCATCTTTGGACTGATGCTGCTGCTGCAGACTGCTGCATGTGAGTCACTTTCACATCAAACTCATCTTATCATGCTGATCAGTCAGATTAATCTCAGAAGTAAAACACAGTAATATTCAAATGTTTTTCAAAACTTACAGTAAAAGAGTTGGATGTTTTTGTTAAAGATCCCAAAGTGATAGTTGTGACTTTAAAAGTTTGTGGTGGTAATTCAGAAATAAAGTGCAGGAGTCTGAATTCCCTCCACAGCTGACAGAGCTCCTCAGAAATCTCCTTCTGTAAAGTATAACAGCTGATTATGTACAAAACGTACAAATTACTTTACCTTTTCAGGAGCTTTCAAACAAATATATCATTTCCTTCATTTTTTTTTTTTTTTTTTGCACTTCTATTCTTGTTTTCACACATTATCACGTGGTTCAGCTTTATCGCTGCTACAGATCTCTAACTTCCTCTTCCCTACATTTTGTTTTTGCGCAAATAACATGCCTCTATATCAGTAATAATTATATTTTAAGCATTTTTGCATGAAAATATTTTCTTTGCACTCAAAATGTGATAGGAGCACAATTCAATTCAATTCAAGTTTCACGATACAAATCATTGCAAAGCAACTTTACAGCAAATTAAGTGTCTACAATATTTAGTGGTAGCTTATCAGTGGTGACTGTCAGTCAATGTACGTATGGCAGAAATGTACGGAAAAATCAATTAAAGACGTAATCAAACAGACGATGAACACTATTAACAGCAATTATTATATGATGCAATCAAACTTGTAGCAAAATGTGGTAGTTCTGTATGTTGTTTCAGGGTTGGCATCATCTGAGGTCCTCTGAAGGTTTGGCATCATCTCTTCTCAGGTGTTCTGGATCCAGACTGAAGCTTGTGTAAATCCTAGTTACCACGGGATGTCAATCCCAGCAGAAACGGAGAAACAAATAGAGACATACCGTATTGACCCGAATATAAGACGATGTTTTTTTCTTGGAAATACATCTGAAAAAACGCGGTCGTCTTATATTCAGGGTCTAGACTTTGACATGTCAATAATACACCCACAACAATAGGTGGCGCCAAATACGCATAAAACGAGTGTGCCATGAAATACGTAATGTATGTAATGCGTGTTGTAAAGATCGCGAGTAAAAACAAAAGAAAAAGAAAACCTTACAGCTGCATGAGTCGTGACTGTCACGTTAGCCTGATGGGACCAAACTCCCTTTGTGATTTTAAAACGTAAGGCAGTACCCAGATTTGAAGACTACAGTAAGATTTAACTTCTACTGTTAATAAGATGTTGGTAGGCTACTATTAAGCCTGCCCTTGAATACCTGTATAGTTTTGTAATCGATCTATGAGTATGTCATGATCTATAGTGTTCTATATCTATATGTTCTAGATCTATATAGATCTATAGTCTGTAGATATCATTTTTTTGCAGGAAGGAGCACAATTGAGCAGACACAACTTTTTCTAATATTTTAGACATAAAAGGAAGATTTGAAATGGGTCTATAATTTGGCAGTTCACTATGATCTAGTTGTGGTTTCTTAATAAGAGGCTTAATAACCGCCAGCTTGAATGGTTACACAATTCAAAGCAGAAATTTCATAGCAATCCTTGGCATTAATAAACATTAAGATGTCATGGGAAAAATGTTCCAGAAGCAGCACATACAACAATTACTGATATTTCTATTTATATTGTGCATACATACCACCTTTTATTTATAAATCCAGATATGTGCATGGCAGTTTATACACCAGACATCTGATGTTCTGGCTGCTGTGCATGTATTTAATGTTATATGAATTACATTATGAGCAATGATGGATTGGAGATGCTTTTTCTGTGTGTTATACATGTCTTCCACTAGCTATTTTTTTAGTTGTTTTCAAAAAGTGGTTGGGGCATAAAGAAAAACTGCACTTGTTAAACCATTTTATGATGTTTTTAGGTGATTATTAAGAACATCATTTGAAAACCTGATACGTGAGTCTGATACGTGTCTTCCGTAGAACTTATGAATATTTGTGTGATTTGTGTCTGATTGAAATTCATGATGAGAGAGATGATATTTATACCAGCAGTAACACTCTGACTCTGTCTGTCGATGTTGGTACATTTCATTTTGTGTGTGTTTTGTTCTTTAGGTCTGGATCGGTTCTGCAGGTTTGATCACCTATATTCGATCAAACAATGTTACGCAGCTCTGGGACACAAACTCAATCTGCAGATGAAGCTGAACCCTCAATATCAAGACCTTCATTTGTATAAGAAGTTAAATGATGGCAGTATACTGGAAGTTTTTAGCATAAAGAAAAATAAAGAGCATAAACATGAATCCATCAGAAACAGATCTGAGTTCTTCTTTGATAATTTGACTCTGATCATAAACAATGTGATCAAAGCAGATTCAGGGACTTACACATCACATGTCATTGAGATAGATATGGTCATAGCCAATGATCTTCAAGTGATTGTTGAAAGTACACAAACTCTCTCATCAGACTCATTCTGTCTTGACATTGACTGGTTATGTGTTGACTGTGATGTGTCCCTCCCTCCAGCTCCTATTGGCTCAGTGGAAGTGTCAATCATCTGCTCCTCCAGTGGGGTGATGAGGGTGTCCTGCTCCTCTGAGGGGGATCCGCTCCTCTACAGCTGGACTCTGAATGGAGATCCACTGATGGATGGAAACAGCAGCATTGATCTGGATGAGGGAACTGATGGAGACATCAGCTGCAGCGTGAAGAACCACGTCAGTCACACACAGAACACCATTAGAGTCCAACCCTGTGCTGGTGAGATCATTTCTGTGAATCTGCAGATATCAACTACACACAGACTGATTGATTGATTGATTGATGTGTTTGTGTTGTTCAGTGTGTTCAGTGTCTGTGGTGTTTGTGCTGGTCTGGTGTCTTCAGCTGATGGTTCTGTTGGGTCTGTTAGGAGGTTTTCACATCTACATGAGACACACGTCAGGTGAGAGACGTTTATCATCATCATTATGGATTTGACATGCAGATATTAAGAGTGTGATGATGATGATGTGATGCTTTTAGGAAAGAAGCAGGAAGATCAGAAAGTGAGGATGAGAAGATTTAGAGAAGGACCTGAACACACAGCAGAAGATTCATGAGAGCAGCAGATCTTCTGTATTTTATATGATTTTTAACATGTTTAGACACAGATGTCTATTTTTTATTCATTTGTAAGTGGTAAGTGATTCACTGCTAGTGGGTGACTTCAGTGAACCCATCAACCAGCATTTATATGTCTTTTTACCTGATCTCAGATCAGTTTTATAAATTTGTAGACATTTATAATGACACAGTTGTATAAAAGCAAGAGTAGTAGGCACGTTAATCTCTTAAGTCTCTTATTAGTCTGATTAACCAAGCTCTCCATAAAACAAACAAATCAAGTTAATAAAAGACAAGTGAACAAAAGAACACAGACACTTCATATTTAATGGTATTAGATTATTTGTTAATTGGATTACACTTTCAATAAATCATTTCCAATTGGTGTGTAAATGGTGTTTTGATGCATGTTTGGTTTGAGTTTTTGTTGCATTTACATCTGACCAGCAGGCGTCACCAGCGTGTAGCGTTTCAAATGCAATCCAGCGTTCCAAAGCAATTGGTTCAAATGATTCGAAAAAAAAACCAAACTGGATTTGATTTCCTTGTATCGTGCATGCTGCATATTACTGATATTAACTATATGATTTTTCCGTACATTTCTGCCATACGTACATTGACTGACAGTCACCACTGATAAGCTACCACTAAATATTGTAGACACTTAATTTGCTGTAAAGTTGCTTTGCGACGATTTGTATCGTGAAAAGCGCTATACAAATAAACTTGAATTGAACTTGAATTAATGTGAAACTTTTCATTTAACTAAAAATGCATTTAGATTTACAACCCCCTGATTACTGCTGTTTTCTCGAAAACAACCTAAGTTTGTACTGAAATTTACTTCTTACTGGTAGTGATGGTAGAAAGGAAGCTTTTTAAAATTTCTTTTGAACAAACTATTTTCAATATTTGATCCAATCTGATGAGCCCGGTCTCATGAAAATGCATATAAATAGTACGCTAAATAAAAACAGAAAATCGTGGTATTGAAACGCAAAAATTGACTTTAGCATGCATATGATATGCACGTGTTTGGCGTGCATATAATACGCAGTTTTCGCATACATATGATACGCATCTACCCCACAAGGGAACATCATCCATCATGATTTTGTGTCAGACCTCGTGGATTCAGACTTGGGTAAAAGTTGACCGAAGACATGCAAATTGTGACATGTTTCATTTAGTAGATGTTTGTTTGTCAGCAGCGGTTTTTATGGCAATTTTTCCTTGCAGTTCATTATGAGCACTCCTGTTATAAAAGCAACCAAAATGTCACACTACTGTGTCGATGAACACACACGAAGATGACGATGAAGATAACCAATCTTTAATAAACCAACTGATATGTAATTTCACACAAAGGACTAAAAAGACAGAACTGAAGTAGGGTGGCTAACGAGGGACAGACAGGTGAGGAAGATTAACTAATAAGGACACAAGGGCACGTGAACTACACAGGAAGGAAGACAGGAACTGAATAAACCACAACTAAAAGTTCATAATAGTGACACAAAGGGTGACAAAAACAGCTTATTAATATATTAAATAATGTCTTTATGAAAATCTAAAACTGCAGAAGCATTAGTCAATGGAAATTCCCCACCTTGATGGTAAAGCATACATATGTTTTATATATTTCTGTGACCTTGCTCGAGACCCCAACCTGTGAATGATCTCAACTTCCTCTTCTCTCACAGAAACTGTGCAGTAGTTTAATAACTATATTGTGAGCACATATGAGTGTCAGTCGCTCTTCTGTCAGAGTGAGAAGTGACTGTGTGACTGAAGTAGCATCACACTCTTCTGCTGGGATTGGACTCTTCTGGAAACTGGACTTTAGAGAAATGATGCTCATCTTTGGACTGATGCTGCTGCTGCTGCAAACTGCTGCATGTGAGTGACTTTCACATCAAACTCATGCTGCTGATCAACTCCCATATAAAAACACTGCAATATTACAATGGGAGTTTTTTCAAAACAGTCTGCAGTGATCTGTTTTCTGGTCTTAACAGTGTGTATCAGTGGCAATTACAGTATGTCAGATAGAAGTTTTTAATTCACAATAAAAGAGTGCCTGTGTTAAAGAGCCATGAAATCAAAGTGATAGATTTTAAGGTCTTCTTAGAAAAAGTATAACAGCTGATTTTGTACACCTTACGAAAATTAACCATGATTTACCACAAATTAAACCAAAAAACCATGGTTACTATAGTTAAACCATGGTAACCACAAATTAACCATTGCTACACTAACTGTAGTTTAGCCACGGTCTTTGTAGTAAAACTGTGGTTATACAAATGGTAATCAATACTACACTTTTACTACAATAAAAAATAAAAGCATTCACCAACTGATAAAAATGCATTAACTTTTAAAGAGTTTGGAAACTAAGCTAACATTTGATGATAATGTTGGTTCTATTCTTGTTTTTTCTACATTACGTCATTCTGTTACTCTTCTTGTACAGCTCTATTTCTATTTGTCTACCTTCCCCTTTTACCTCTCTAAAACAACTCTGCTCTTCTCCCTTTCCTCCATGTTCTCAATTTTCTACCACAAGTTTATATCTGTATCTTTGCACTCATGCTTTGGAAGCAACATATATGGCTAATATTTCAGTGTATTTTAGTAACTGTTTCTGCAGCTCCAGAGTGATTAGTCACATGATGTTCATGGCTCAGGTGATTGTGTTCAGACCTGAATGTTCATAAGCAAAGATGGAAGAGTCAAATCACTCACTTCCACATCTATCATTGAGAGGAAGGAAGGAAGGAAGGAAGGAACTCCTGCACCATTTCATGTGGTTTTTGATCTGGATCATTATTAGGAACATGTTCATGATGACAGTGATATTTATGCACATCTCTCTCTCTCTCACTCTCTCACTCTCTCACTCTCTCTCTCTCTCTCTCTGTCTGTATGTGTTTTGTTCTTCAGGTCTGGATCGGTTTTGCTGGTTTGATCAACCAGATCCCTGTTACGCAGCTCTGGGACACAAACTCAATCTGCCGGTGGTGCTGGGTGCTAGTAATTATAAGCTGAAAATAATAAAGAGAATAAACAACACAAAAGATGATCCATTTTGTAGATTTCAGCATGGCAATATGGAGGAGACTGGATGTGATCTTTATAATAACAGACCAGAAGTGACCATCATTCATGGGATGCTGATAATAAACCGTGTGATCAGAGCAGATTCAGGGAATTACAAATTAAATATTTACAGCTCACAGATCATACAGACATTTCAAGGAGATCTTCAAGTGATTGTTGAAGGTACAGAAACTCTCTCATCAGACTCATTACAATCTCATGTTCTCCAAAGATCTCACTCTCATGCAAATGAATCAGTTGAATCTCTGTGAAGGTTTTTATTCCTGTAGCACACAGTAAACACACTACAGACTCCAGTATTAGTACGAGTCGTGTGGAAGAACAAGATTCTCCTGTGTTTGTCATGTGACTGTGATGTGTCCCTCCCTCCAGCTCCTATTGGCTCAGTGGAAGTGTCAATCATCTGCTCCTCCAGTGGGGTGATGAGGGTGTCCTGCTCCTCTGAGGGGGATCCGCTCCTCTACAGCTGGACTCTGAATGGAGATCCACTGATGGATGGAAACAGCAGCATTGATCTGGATGAGGGAACTGATGGAGACATCAGCTGCAGCGTGAAGAACCACGTCAGTCACGCACAGAACACCATTAGAGTCCAACCCTGTGCTGGTGAGATTTTCATATACGAATGCCCAGATACTGTACATATGGAAACCAGAGCAACTAATAATGCAAGTCTCTTAATTCTTGAAAAGACTTTGTTTCAGCTTGATCTCAGCAGTGAATTGTGTTGATGTGGTTCAGAGAGAAAGCAGGTGATTCTGTGCTGATGTTTTATTACAGGACCAACTACTGCAGCTGTGACCTCTAGTTTGACCTCTGCAGTGACCAGCAGCACACAGACATCAGAATGTGGTACGAGTTTAACAAACACACTCCTGGAAACATGAAGGATGGGTTTTGTTTTGTGTCTAATTGTTGTTGTTCAGTGTGTTCAGTGTCTGTGGTGTTTGTGCTGGTCTGGTGTCTTCAGCTGATGGTTCTGTTGGGTCTGTTAGGAGGTTTTCACATCTACATGAGACACACGTCAGGTGAGAGACGTTTATCATCATCATTATGGATTTGACATGCAGATATTAAGAGTGTGATGATGATGATGATGTGATGCTTTTAGGAAAGAAGCAGGAAGATCAGAAAGTGAGGATGAGAAGATTTAGAGAAGGACCTGAACACACAGCAGAAGATTCATGAGAGCAGCAGATCTTCTGTATTTTATATGATTTTTAACATGTTTAGACACACTTTTGCGTTTTTTATTCATAAGACCTTAGTCTTAGTTATTATAGAATATGGATAAACAATACTGTAAATGGAATTCATGTTGAAATTGAAATGAACTTTGGTATCAAGTTAAATAAAAAAATAAATATTTTAAACGGAACTGTATTTCCTGTCAAAAGTCACAATATCACTGTTAAAATTTAAACAGACATTTAAAAAACAAACGTATAAAAACTAAATCCAGACAGAAATCTTTTTTTATATATATATATATATATATATATATATAAATAAATAAGTGCATCTATTACTGAAGAACACAGACACCTCATATTTAATAGTAGACCTATTAGATGATTTGTTAATTGCATTTAATAGATTACACTTTCAATAAAACATGTGCAATTGGTTTGTAAAATGTGCTTATATGCATGTTTGGTCTGGGTTTTGTTGCATTTACACCGTTGACCGTTCTGATCAGCATTCCGAACCGACTCGTTGAAATGAATTTATTAAAAGTTTTAAAAAGCTTAGTTTCTATCATCACTACCAGGAAGAGCAAGTAAATTTGACGACAAACTGAGGTTGTTTATCAAGAAAAGTGTTTTTAAAATGGCAGTAATCAGGGGGTGTTGATCTTAATGTTTTTTAGTTTAGCTCTCTAATTCAATACTGATCATTCAAAAATGTTTCATGCATTGGGTCACACGTTTGGACCTCCGCTCCGACCCCATCAGAACCTGACCAGTCCCAGAAATGATAGCTGTTGTTTGTCTGTTTATTACTGTGAGGCCCGTTTCACACTAGATGCGTTAAGTAAAATATTTTGTTCCTGAAATCCATCCTGAATACTGATATTTTTTTATCAAATGCATCCCAGTCCTACTAAAATGTTTTGAACAACACTGAAGGTTTGATCAGAACCAACACTGGATTACATGATCAAATCCAAATTCAGAATGCATTTTCCCTTTTGAACACAACATTTTCAATATTTAATTCAATTCGATATCTGAAACCCAGTCAAATTTCTCTTGAACTGCAGGAGACTGAGGTCAGACATGAAGCTGAGGCTGAAACAGGCTGCTGTTACTATGGCAACAGACTGACCGCTCTGTGCTGATGGAGACCTCGTGTGATGAGCTTGAGTAATGACAGAGATCTCAGTCTCATCATTTCAGTACAAACTCAGCTTCTTTAATTAGACAAAATGTTCTTACAAACTGCAGTAATCAGTGAGAGCTTGTTAATACACTTTCAAACCGCACATAAAAACTGACTTAAATTATAATTAACCTTATGACAACTTTTTTGGCTGTTTTTTGTTTGACTCAGCGCAGGTCATTTTGACCCTCATATTTTTGTTTCAGCATTTTATTCCTTATATGTGTCTCCACATGGAGAAAAACACGAGATATTCCAGAAACTTCTGAGGGTCAGTTTTCCAGTGAAGTAAAACGGAACATCATCCATTATTTGTGTCAGACTTTGTGGATTCAGACTTGTGTAAAAGTTGACAGAAGACATACAAATCGTCACAGATGTTTTTTTTAGTAGATGTTTGTTAGTCAGCAGTGGTTTTTATTCTCACCACAGACCGTTTTGTTTGCATCTGCAAAATGACAAAAGTACATGTGCTGTTTTTTTTTTGCAATATCTTAAACACTAAACTGTGAATGATCTCAACTTCCTCTTCTCTCACAGAAACTGTGCAGTAGTTTAATAACTATATTGTGAGCACATATGAGTGTCAGTCGCTCTTCTGTCAGAGTGAGAAGTGACTGTGTGACTGAAGTAGCATCACACTCTTCTGCTGGGATTGGACTCTTCTGGAAACTGGACTTTAGAGAAATGATGCTCATCTTTGGACTGATGCTGCTGCTGCTGCAAACTGCTGCATGTGAGTCACTTTCACATCAAACTCATGCTGATCAACTCACATAAAAACACGGCAATATTACATTAAGAGTATCCAAAACAGTCTCCAAGGATCCAGTTTTCTAGAGGTGTCAGTGGAGTATTAAATGATGTCAGATAGAAGGGTTTGTCATTGTAAAAGATAATCTTTTTTTTTTTTTACTGCTTTGAAGCAGTTTTTAAGAGCAAGTGGTATATTTTGAAAACTCAACTCATCTCACAACAGATCCAAAAAAATAAATAAATTTTGCAAACATTTCAGCAAATTTTCAATCATTCAACAAATCACGAAATCACTAAGTATTCATTCCACTACACATGCGTTCGTCTAACTAAATTGATCATTCACAGTAACAATTATGAAAGGCAGTTACTATCAAACTTTTCATTTGCTTCTCTTCTCATGTAGTTTAATACATTTGTCTTTCATTTAATCTATCTGATCTTCATGGTTAAACAATTAATAATTTCCATAGATTTCTAGATTCTATAGAACTTGTTTGCAATTTTCTGAAACTTGTAATCAAATAAATATATACACTTGTTATAAGTCTATAAGCAATTTATCTCAGATGAACAATGTTTGAAGTGTGTGTGTCAGGGATCTGGATGGAGGACCCAATTGCAGTGTGAGTAACAAGGGTTTGACAAAACAGATCAACACAAAAGGGTTGTGAGGTGCACAGGTGATACCACAACAGGAACAACGCAAACCGATACCTAGGGAAGGCCACTGGAACAGCCTCGGACATCAACTGGCAGAATACAGCAGCAGAGGCGGCGGCAAGACCAGGCCGGTGGAGAGACCAGAGCAAGGCACCAGAGAGCTGAGCTCAGATACTTATTGACCATAAACTCTGAAGCACCCCCAGACAAAAAAAAAAAAAAAAAAAAAAAAAAAAAAAAAAAAAAAAAAAAAAAAAAAAAAAAAAAAAGTTACAATTATTATTAAATTAACCAACAAATAATTTAAATATCAACCAAAAAATGCAAACAAAAGATCAGGACTAAGAGAACTAAATGAACACTAAAATAAAAGCAAAAAGACAAAAACAGACAAAATCCAAAAACAAGGAGCAAGACAAGAACATAGAATTACAAGAGACAAGACTAAGGCAAGGCTAGAGCACAAGAACTAACAGACAGGAACACATACTCAGCCACATCCACAGACAAAGACAAACACAGTGAGGGAAAGAATGACCACAGACCAGCCAAGACAGTAGAGCAAGGGGCACTATAAATAGGGAGGAAAACACACGAGGAACAGGTGAGCACAATTAGACCAACAAGGCTAACAAGAGGGTGTGGTAAAGAGGAAACAAGGAGGAGGGGCTAGAGAAGCACATGGCTGAGAAAAACAAACTAGGCCATGTGCTGACACAGGACAACAGACACAAAAAACAAAACACAAGACAAATGGAGTGTCAGGGCAGAACCCTGACAGTGTGTGTACAGTATGTATGTATGTGTGTGTGTGTGTGTGATCTTACTCTTGTGTTCAATGATTACGGAACCAAATATTCCCATTACATATTACAATAGTCTTGTTTCAAAACAATAGTTATGTGAACTGAAAATATATAACTGTATTGAAAACATGAGATCAGGGTGTCTAGCAGTGTTTACAAGTATGATCAGTTTGGATTTGAAATGTTTTGAGAATGTTTCATGTGAAAAGGATAACAAAGAGAATACAAAAAAAAAATAAATAAAAAAAATAATAATCTGTGATCTGTGTCTGATATAACAGTTTTTTTTCACCTGCTTACACACATTTTCAAAACTTTGCCCCTTTTTCAAACAAGGAGCAAGACAAGAACATAGAATTACAAGAGACAAGACTAAGGCAAGGCTAGAGCACAAGAACTAACAGACAGGAACACATACTCAGCCACATCCACAGACAAAGACAAACACAGTGAGGGAAAGAATGACCACAGACCAGCCAAGACAGTAGAGCTGTTTGAGTGTCAGCTTTCAGAAATTGTGTGACAAGTAAAGATTGTGTGTGTAAGCAGTTGAAAAAAACTGTAAATAATGATGAGAGAGCTCTATATTAGCAGTATCACTTTGACTCTGTAGATGGTACATTTGTGTGTGTGTGTGTGTGTGTGTGTGTGTGTGTGTGTGTGTACTAGTAAAAAAAAGATTAGAATTTGTTCAGTTCGTGTTTCTATTTAAATCGAGTGTTTTGCACAGGTGTCTGTTAGGCTAGTGTTTAGGGGTTGGGTTAGGAGTTAGAAAATATAATTAACCTGATGTAAAAGCAATGGAAGTCTATGAAATGAGTTTATTAAACAAATTAAATAAACATGTGCATTTGTGTTTTTTCTTCAGGTCTGGATCGGTTCTGCAGCTTTAATCAATCAGATTCCTGTAATGCATCCGCAGGAGACAATCTCTATCTGCAGATGGTGCTGGGCGCTCGAGATCAAGTGCTGCATTTGTTTAAGGAGTTTACTGATGGCAATGCACTGGACATTTTTAGAGTAAAGAACAATAAAGAGAAAAAAAACTGAATACATCAGAAACAGATCTGAGTTCGTCTTTGAAAATGGAACTCTGATAATAAACCGCGTGATCAGAGCAGATTCAGGGAATTACAGATTATAGCTCTATCACTCAGACGGCATAAGAACATTTGAAAAACATCTTCACATTAACATTGAAGGTACAGAAACTCTCTCATCAGACTCATTACAATCTCATGTTCTCCAAAGATCTCACTCTCATGCAAATGAATCAGTTGAATCTCAGTCTTGTGTTTCAGGACTCTTGTTTTGTAATGTGTTTCTGTGCTCTCCTGTGTTCAGTGTCCCTGTTTGCCCGCCTGCCTTGTTTGTTACCATAGAACCATCACCATAGCAATTCATTAGCCCCTCCCCCTTGTTACTCTTGTAAGCCTGTGTATTTAAAAGAAAGTTCCAAACGTTGGTTTGGGAGGAGCCTAATCATTCAATAACACTGATATCAATAACACTGATTGATTGATTGATTGATTGACTGCTGTGTTTGTGTTGTTCAGTGTCTGTGGTGTTTGTGCTGGTCTGGTGTTTTCATCTGATGGTTCTGTTGGGTCTGTTAGGAGGTTTTCAGTTTGTATGTTAGGACTAGGTGTTATGATCCCAATATTCAGCACCATTTAGCCGCACCATAGAACATTTTCCCTTCACTGTGAGCAGAACACAGCAAGACGCAGCAATTGTTACGCACCGATTTTGGTTCAGCAAGAATCCAGGATCATGGCTTAATCCATGTCCGTGGTACTTGCCTCAATACCCAATAATCAGTCGTGAATTTACAGTTAAACAATAAGAAAAATGACTAGTATGGTAAGATGGATAAATGAAGATGGTACAATTCTTCGCTGCAATCATTGGGTGGGGATCCTTGAAGTTTTGATGATATGTAATGCTGTGCATGATGTGTACTTATCTTTCATGGGTGTTGCCAGTGAGATACCTTATCTGATGTCGATCAGATCCCAGTTTCTGTGCAAACTTTAGCCTGGGTGAAAGATGCCTTTTGTTGAGGTGATGTTGCCAATGACCTTTGTATGGTGTTTCCACCAAAGCAACAGATCATCAGTTCTGTACCCCAGCCTCATTGGGTGTTTCGGCCCTTTATCACAATTTGTATGGTGTTTCCACCAATGCAACACATTGTCAGTTATGTAACCCAGCCTCATTGGGTGTTTTGGCCCTTTATCACAAGACACCCTCAGACGAGGCAGGCCCATGACAGGCTGATCAGACCCGAGTGTCTGTCACTTTGTTACATGGTCATTTGGCAGCCCACAATGTGTCCATCCGCTTCAGCCACAACCAGTGGCTGCTTCTTTCAGTGACAGTGGCCAGTTCCCTGACTATCCTCTGCTGGACCTGGTCTCTGATGCCTAACTCCTTCAGCAGCCTTATAGTGGAACTAGCCACAAAGCCCCTGCAGCCCACTTCCACCGGGTATACTTTCACTGTCCAGCCCCGCTCCTCTGCCTCAGCTACCAAGTTGGCATATCGCAGCTTTTTCCTTTCAAAGCCCTCGTTAATGGCCTCTTCCCAAGGGACTGTCAGTTCGACTATTATGACGATCCTACTGGAGTTGGACCAGAGAACCAGGTCTGGGCACAGATTGGTGACTGCAATTTCGATTGGGAAAGTGAGTGTGTGGATTAATTCGACTCGCATTTCCCAGTCCCTGGCTATATTCAGCTGGCCTTCTTCAGGGGACAGGCACTTAGCCTGCTTTTTCGCCCCTTCCCTAACAAAGGACTGCCTTTTTGGTAAGGTATTCTTGGCATTTTGGAGGATGGCGTTTGTTGACACTCTCTTGGTCTCTATTGCTGCCGCCCAGCTCACTCCAAGTGATTTTACGCTGTTCTATACCTTCCCACCTCATCCAGCGGCCTTGTTTGGCTTGGGAGACTGATCTAGCGCATCTAGTTGCTTCCTCCTGATGGCGTACCTCCTCCACCACCAGGTGTCGCTGTTCCTTTGCTGTTGCCTTTTGCCATTTAGGTGTTATTATTCCCAACCCAAGTTTTCTCTACCATATTGGACTTGCCCCACAATATCCCGGTGTCTGAGGGCTGCCTTTGCATCAGCAACTGCTGTAACTGGATTCCATTTCCTCCCTGTCGCCAATGTTGGAGCAGCATCTCTTATACAGAGATCGCGGGATTCTTTGAGCGTCATCTCCAGCCTTGTTTTGGCGCATTTGTACTCCTTCACAAGGCTTGAAATAGGAAGAGAGAGAGCTCCATTGCCATACAGCCCTATGCTGCTAAGGCATTTTGGTAGCCTAATCAATTTCCTCAATTGTGTACTCACCAGTCTCTCCAGGTGCTTGGCGTGAGATAAAGTGAGCTCGTACATGGAAATTGGCCACATAAGGCGTGGCAACAAACCAAATTGGAAGCACCACAGCTTCAACTTCCCCGGAAGAGCTGTACCATTGATTCCCTTGAGTCCACTGACTGTTTCT